ACTGAGCATTAACTTTCATAGTCATTTTTGTCCACACAATGGAAGTCAGTGGGACCCAAAACCATTTGTTTTCCAGCATTCTTCAAAATATCTTGAAATGCATACAGGTTTGGCACGACATGAGGGCGACATTAATAATGACCAAATTTTTGGGTGGAGTATCCCTTCAATCTAACAAACTAAATAATTTGTTGCCGGTGACTCAAGAGTTGCATTTTTATTCTAACATGTAAAATTTTCTATATGGCACATCAAATTTGCCAAGTCAAAATTTGCCAAAATTCCAAGTATACAGTGTACAAAACTGTTGTTATTATTAAAACTAAATGATTAAAATGAATTATTAAAGTTATTATCAATTTCCCTCATCTAAAATAGCTGTAAGTTTGTGTAAGTGGCTGAATTAGAATGGCCTCCAAATGCCAGATTTGTTATTAGAAGAACTATTAAATTAAAATATTCTGAATAGCAATGATTTTTCTGACTGGTTTGTGAAAATGTACAAAATGTGCAGCACAATAAGACTTTGGAGTGGCATAGTTCATTACTAAACATAATGCATTTAACATTAATTTATTTAACATGATTTTTTTCCCCTCACTTACATTAAAATTGTTATTGTAAGTGTAAATCATTCATGTTTTCTCCAGTGTATGTATGTATATACTGTATAAATGTATAAATAAATAAATAAATAAATAAAAGTAATGTGTGCCAAACCAAAAACATGTAAGAATGAAATAAAATATGTTATAAACATATTATACATGTGGACATTGTGGATTTTCTGCTAAAAATGCTTAAAATATAAACTGCTACAAAGGTGCAGAATAAGTGCCCTTGAAGTATTTTGGAAGTGGTGTACCTGCAGATACTAATTCTTATGCTAACCAGTGCCTGATGCTATTAGCATCCAGGCACTAATATCACTTTGGTCAAACATAGCTAACACCAAATAAACTACCTATGCATTTTTCTAGTTCACAACCATCCGATGCTAAAATGTCTCCATTTTTGTGGCCTCTGTGACCCATTTATTTCAGTAACTCACAGTTTTGAGGCCAGACGCAAGATATTTCAGCCTCTGCGCTCCAGAAAGGAAAGCTGATTTGCACTTTAAACAGAAGTTCAAAGCTTGTCGTTAGCAGCTCATATCATAGCTGTTATTAAAGGTCACGTTGTGAAGTCTGTTTAGATCATGTTTTCATATAGCAAACTCTACGCAAGTACATGGACATGTTTTGAGCAAAGTCCATGCCTCTTCATTTACCAATATTTTAGCATTGTCTTGTGCGTTTCGGGGGCGTTTGTTCCCGTCGGGTGGCTTTGAGAGCTGTTGGGTTCATGCTGCTAGGAAAAGGTCAGGTTCTTTCACTGTTCCCGACCCTCCCATAGGGGCTGACAATAAAGCCTTGTCACGTGGCACTCGTCGCTACAACGGCACCACCATTTAGCCCAGAGCACAGCCCAGACTTTTAGTCTCATTTTTGAGGTGGAACACAGTTTGAGACTAGACCCAGAAGGCAGGTTCAGACATTGGGTTGCTAATGATTTTAATGGCGGTTGAAGAAAGCTGGTATCTGCTGCATTCACATCCAGTCAACAAACTGCAAGGCTATGGCAAATAATATTGAGTTTAAAGGTTCACCTCAGCCTGAATGCAAGTTTAGACAAGATTTTGCAGGCAAAAAAGGTCCATTGTCTATTATCAACAATGCAATGATGTATGGTGCTCACGGTTCGCACAGAAGTCTCTTTCAAACCAAGCAGCTTTCTGAACCTGTTACAAAATCAATGTGGGGAAATTTGTTTTCGCTTTTGTGTGAAAGTCCATATTGTGCTAATTCAAATTACATTAACCACACTACACATTTACATTTAGTCATTTAGCAGACGCTTTTATCCAAAGCGACTTACAAATGAGGACAATGGAAGCAATCAAAATCAACAAAAGAGCAATGATATGCAAGTGTTAAGTCTCAGTTAGCTTAACGCAGTACACGTAGCAAGGTTTTTTTTATTTTTATTAAATAATAAATAAAATGAAAACAGATAGAATAGAAAAAGAATAGAGCAAGCTAGTGTTAGAGGCCTTTTTTGCTTTTGTTAATTGTATAATAAATAAAAAGAAAACAAATAGATAGAATACAAAAAGATTAGAGAAGCTATTGTTAGGTTTTTTTAAAGAAAACAAGCAGTTAGTAAATTAATAGAGTGCAAGTCTAAAAGGGACAATGTTTTTTAAAGAATAGAATTAGAATAGAGAATGCTAGAGTTAGAGGGTCAAATAAAGATATTTATACATATTTTCATAACGCACTTTCTAACTTTAAAAACTGTTTTATGCAATTTTCGGTATGTTGTTAAGCAATAAAATATTTTCTCACAGCCTCTTTTACAAAATTCCTGTCAAAAATTAAATAAAGTGCTAGGCTACCTGACTGGGCTATTACTGTATGGCTAGACTGGCTGGATTAATAAAAATGTATTCAAGTGACACCATATGAAAATTTGGACGTTTGCATAAATGTGCTTGTATATTGCTGATTACTGATCTTGTTGACCGTGTACAAAAAATGATCGACGTACAATTTACAGACACGCCCCCAAAGCGGCAACATCGTCAGTCGAGCGTTTTGAGCGGGTGTATTTCGCGCCAGTGTGAACACGTCAGTGTTGCCAAGTCGCGGTTTTCCCGCGGAATTAGGTTACTTTAAAGGGGTCATATGATGCGATTTCAATTTTTCCATAATGTACAGTATGTGGAAAATAATGTGTTTTTTTAACCTTAAACCGCATAAACATTTCATTACACCAAATACTGTTCTTTTTAGCAGCATCATATGACCCCTTTAACACTGTTGCACGGTTGTTTTTCATGTCCGCGGGTTGAAGTGACTCCATTAACATATTTATCGCCTGCAATTAGGGATGGCGATATCTTATCGTTTGCGATATACCGGTAAAAATTCTCCACACGATAAGAATTCGTCTTCCCGCGATAATAACGATAAAGTCTAGTTGT